GAATATTTTGATAAAATGTATCATATAAATATGTATAATAAAAAAAGTGGGTAAGTGGATGTCGCTCTGCTGTACAGTAGGTTACAAGTGGGTCACTGTATAAAGGATTCAGTGGCGTATTTAGGAATTCGTCATGGGGAGGGTCCAGATAATTTTCAGAACACAGAGCCACGGGGGACGAAGCCCCCACACCACCCATTTACTCTTTATTAAATAAAATATACCATATTTATAAGACGATATAAAATTGTCGAATTTTTAATTATTAAATAATAATATGCACAAAACAAATTTAAAAAAAGCGGGTTAGTGGATGTCACTCTGCTGCTGTACAGTAGGTTACAAGTGGGTCAATGTATAATGGATTGTATTAAACTTGAACTCAATGATATAATATCATAATATCATTGTAAAAGAAAAACGATTCTGAGCGAAGACGGTTTGTCAGTCTGGATATTTTATATTGTTATTATTTATTATAGCCTGTAAGTTGAATTAATAATGAAATACTTTTATTTTTTTCTATGGTAATAGACAAAGTGTTAGAAATTAAAATCCCGTTTTTAGTGGTTTTTCGTAATTTTTTGGTGGTTTTTACAGTGGCATTAAATAACTATTGCTAAAATCGAAAAATGACCTCTCTAAAGTACTATCTTGATCCAATTTTCTAAAAGATAAGTTACTATATGTCTATACATGTTGAAATCGAAGCACTCCTTCTGGAAGAAATTTTGTATACAGGAAAAAAAAATAAACACCATTGTAGAACCAATAGATCCCTCAGAATCGAATACATAGTTATATGTTATAACTTGTATACAAATATTTCCTTAATTACATTAGGTACCTACTTCATTCATAGTTGATCTTAGATAGCTTTTAAACCCTTAAAAAGGTTGAAAAAGATCTCTCTGGAGTGGTTGTAGATACTGGCAATGTACAAAACTACAAAATATTTGAATTAAAAAATGAATTTGGTATTTTTCAACCATTTTCGGTACCCAACTGATAAAAATAATCACGATATTTATTGAAAATGTTGATATAACTATAGCTTCGAAAATTTTTTATAAAATCCGTAAAATCGTATGATAAAATTTGTTTTTTAATCATGTAAAAACTGCACAACATTTAACATATACGAGTCACGAGTCAATGGGGGGGGGGGGGGGGGGGTGGACCCCATGGACCCCCCCCCCCGTAAATACGCGACTGAAAGGATTGTATTAAACTTGAATTCAATGGTATAAAATCATTGTATAAGAGAAACGATTTTGAGAGGAGATGATTTGTCAGTCTGGAATTAAAACATTGTCGATTGGATCCTGTTAATGATTTCGCTATTCAAATGTTGAATCACACAAGTCCGGGGTCAATAGATATTAAAATATTATTCAAACTTTAGATTTTGTCTGTAGTTCATTTTATTTTAATATTATGATGTACTACTCTAAAATAGTGAACTTTTGTTTGTTTAAAATATGTATTATACAAATTCAATTAGTGTAATTATTTATATGAGCGGTCGTGCTGATTATATTATATTATAGTAATTAATTCAGAAATTCGTAATAAAATCAGTGGAGCTCACAAAGTGAGGCAAATCAGTTACATCCTCACTTGACATGTCCCTTTAAAATAACATAATATAAAGGTTTTGATTTAAAAATAAAAATAATCAAATGATTATATATTACAAACATTAAGTTTTATTATAATATTGATATTCTACTAAATTTTCTACGTCAACTTCGCCTGTCACCGATTATCACTCAGAGAAATATTTCTTATATTTAAGTAAAAATGTATACCTATTAAATTAAAGAAAATTGGGCATGATTTCGAGCCTATGATATGTATTCATTAAAATAAGTACCTACTAACTTTTCATTAGACCAATGATTAAAAATTTAATTTAATTAAATCAAAATTGCATTAATTGTATTTCTATTTTACTAAAATTATAGAAATGATTGAATAAAATTAATGATATGTTGTTATTGAATTTAAAAAAATAATGCCTTAATTAGAAGATAAATTACTTTAAAATAATCGGCAATGTATCTATATTCTTTTTATTTATATTCGATAATATTATTATTTATTAAAGTCGTATTCTTATGTTTTAGTTATAGCGGTACCTACTGTTCAAGTACTAAATTGGTAAGCATAAGAATATTGGATACAGACGAATATTGGAAGTTAAATAATATTAATAACAAATTATGAATATCAATATTCTACGAACCGGTCAACTGATCAAAAACCGCGGTTCAAAGTTATTTTTCAATATTCGACAATGGCTGAATATTAATCGTACTTATAAGTCGTAATGCATAGTATAAGTTATCATGATTCGTTGTCTGAAAACAGTTTTTTTTTTCTAATTTGTACGTCATATTTCCTTATTGTTTTAAATAATTAAAATCGTTCGTTAAATATGGAGGTAATCATAATTATATGCATATATTTGTAATTAACGCGCTAACCAATTACGCATAATAAATTCATCTCGGTTTAAAAAATGTTTACATTTTAGTTCTACAATATTATAAATATATTGGTTATTTGGTTATACATAATATATTATATTTATGTATAGATGACAATAATAAATTATATTACATTTTCTTTAAAGTATATTTATATTAGAATTTTCTAAACTTCGTGTAATCTTGAAAATATTTTAGCTCTTTTTATTCAAAATTAAGCCCCTCATTCGACAGGTTTCAGTAGTAACTACGGCTGCCAGCTAATAATTTTAACGAACCGCGACAGAAGTGTAGCTAAATTGACTATCTAAAACGCCGTATGAATAAATAGATAAAATATCTATTGGATTTTTAAACCGGAAAAAAACGTAAAACCTCTAAATCAAAATATAGGTTTCGATTTCGGTTCCTAAAAAAATGTATTTAAGGGTTCCGGTCCGGTTTCGCTCCCAAGATTTTCAAAAGGTTTCGGTCCAAAACGGTGCCAGTCCCTGGGCCTTAAATATCCTTGTTTTTTATTAAATATTAGTAAAAAGTACACTGAACCACTAAAAGAGTTACGCGCGATTGACGGTTTTAAGTTTCGTTTTCACTGCATAATGGGCAATGCAGTTTTAACGGAGGGCGTGTACAAAAAAAATCGTGTACCTAATGCATTTTTAAAATTTGATACACATTGTGTTGATGAACGATCATTTGTACGGTAGCAGGGGCGGACTGGGAATACTTCAGCCCAAGCGGAGAAGAATATGAGCGGCCCAACTTTTTTTTACATAGTTAATGAAAATGTTCAGTTGCCTTTATAATACCTATTTACTTAGTTTTTATGTTAATAAGTTCTAAAATTCTGAAATAATAGTAATATAAGTAAATCATGTTACAGAAGAAAAAAGTTTATTAGAACATAATGTAATTAAAATTTATGTAAACATATTTAGCATTAAAGTTGATGTACTTTTAAGGTAATTAATAATATCGGATACTTCTACATCTTCTAACATCTGTTTTTCAATTGACATAATCAGTAATGCTTCTAAATTTTCTGAGCTTAAATTAAAACGAAGACGATTTTTTGTTATTTTAAGTTTACTGAATGTCCGTTCACTTCACAATTCACTTGTGTTACAGATAAAGTTAAGAAAAATTCATAAGCTTCACAGAGATAACTATAAGATGAAACATGTAAATTTAATGAATATAATACTTTGTACACACAGTTTAAGCAATTTTTCGGATCATGATCGATACTTAAAGAACACTTCTTCTCCTGGTAGAAATCATTACCTACAACAATTTCAAGTATTACATGCATAAATAATTCATTAATAAAATTTAGGAAAATATTTTTAAGTTATTATTAAACATACCAATTAATTCAAGAGTATTATCTTCTAATATATCAGAAAATTCATTAATTGATTCTTTATTATTATCATCATCTTCTGAAACATATTGCTCTTGATACATTGTCTGAGTGCGACAATTAAGACACGCGTGTAGCCAGCGATTTCTGTGGTCAAACCGAATCCGCCGATCACCGATTTGGCGTGAAACATCGTCGCACTCGCGCCGCAAGTCTGCTGCAGCACCACGAGTCTTGCGCCGATGTCGACGATCCTGCGTGTCAGGCGGCTTCTGTTGTCACCGATCATGCACTCGAACTCGAACACGTATCTCTGGTTTTTGGGGGGGAAAAAAACGAATTTATATAATATAGGTAATCGACATCGTCTCGTCCCAATTTTGAAAACGTTTCGACCTACCTCGAGCGCCATGTAGTCTTGGTCTACGCAGTAGTCTTCGCCTTTGACTCGACGCATAGCCGTTTTCGCGTGCTCGGAGTCGCTGTGGCATTTGTACACGTACAACGGCGACTCCGGCATGAAGACCGAGATGAGGATGTGCAGGGCCGACCACACCATGCACACGCCTGTCAGCTGGGCGTTCGTGACGATGGCGCTGAACGCGTGTGCGTAGAACACGCCGAAACACACGAACGCGTGGTGGAGCACCAGTACCCGACCTAGGTCACGCACAACACAATTGCGGTGTATAACACTGGGTATAATATTATTATGTACACACGACACACTACGTATAACTACGTTGAATTCCGGGACGCCTATTATATATAATGGCGCATTTATTCAGACTATAGTACCTATATTTTGTTTTGGGCCGGGTGCGGAAAAGCGATGTCTAAAAAATCCCCTAAGCTATAAGTTTTTCCATAATATAAATCATTACCTGTACACACATTGTGCTTACGGGCAGCGTGTAAAATATAATAATATATTATGCTGTATTCTATTAGTACCAATTACATTTCTGGACATGTCTTAATAATATTATATACACTATTGTGGAATTTAACGTCAAGCTATTATCTCACGACCAAACCCGAATTTCGGCAAAAGTTCTCACCCCGGATGCGGAAGTCGGCGATGTGTGCGATGTACGTGGGTATGAGAAACCTCAGGCCTCCGGTGCCTAGGCCGTGCGTGAGCCGGATGGCCCAGACGGGCACCAAGTTCACCTGCGACAACAGCAGCCAGCCGACGAACACGACCATGTCGCAACCAATTACCGACCATCTGTAACCGATATTCCTCGTCACCGGACCCAGGATCAGGCCACCGAACGTGGTCCCCAGGAAATAGCAAGCGACCGGATCCAGGTACCAACCGGAGTCGTCCAATTCGCTGTTCAGAGCGTAATCGTTGTTTCCAAACGTCCGTGTCAACCTCGCTGCTGCCGAGTTCACGCAAAAACAGTGCCGATCACCACGCCGCTCAGACCGGCTGCGAACACACTTGTCAGGGTTAATTATCGGGGATTTCGTCCTTAAGTATCTGTATATCTGACGGTGTCAGATAAGAAGCACTCTAAAATACCTATACTCTATTGGACCATACGAAATTCCAAACGGTGTTGACAGATGTTTAAATTATCCAACCTAGTTTATACAGTATACACCTACCTAAAATCGAATAACAGAACTGCGGAAATCTCTGTGGAACCGCTCTTTCTTCAGTGCACATCATCGGTGCCATATACGAAAAAATATACGAATATCGATACGGAAAAAACAAAACCGTTATTTTCACTATAAAAATAGTAAAATTAACTGTATTATACAATTGCTATAGGGATAGCTATAATGTTAGTCAGATTTACTAAAAATATATAGTTATGATTTTATAGTAAGCCAGACAAAAATTATAGTGTTTTGTACCAAACATGTTTAGTACTCTTTACTATACAATTTAATTATTAATATAATATGAACATTAGAGATATAAAATTACTATAAATATTATACCTAATACAATAAATGCCTACTGTATTATAATAAATTATAGTATTCAGTATAATGTAACAACAGTAGGTACATTTCTGAAACTGTACAAATAAAAATAACAATTAAAAATATTAAATATATTTTCAAATTTATGTATACATTTTTATAAATACACTTCCATTAGAAATGCTTGTATGGTAAACAGGAAAACTATTATCCAAATCATTTAATTTTGTACATTTTAATTCAGAAGTTAACATAATGCATTGTTCAGATGAGGCTTGAATATAATTTTGAACAGCAAAGTTATGTGAACGACTCTCTTCATGTTTTTTAACAGCTATGTGAATGTGTTTTAAATCTTTATATCCATTTATAAAAGGGGACTGATGACTACTAAATGCTATACAAATAGGACCTTTATTAAAATTCCGCCCCTGTACGGTAGAACTGTAGAAGGTAAGTATTAGTGTCGAGCGCAAAGTGGTAGAGCAGTTATGGGAACGTCCCAGCGAAATGATACATTCTGAGATTTCACCAGATGATTTGAATATACTAGACACGAAGGATAAGTATAAATTTAATCCGAAAGAATATTCACACTGCTCGCATTGTACGGATTCGTAATGTTATGCTATGTTACCCGCCGTAGTAGATAAATTACACATCAAGGGAGCTGAAAATGGATTATTGACATTAATACTAATAAAAGTGTTGTGTGCTTCTCTGCGTTAAAGTGGTGAAGGGAAACATTTGTGTCCGTAACTCGCATTTGTGTCCAAAATTAGTATTTTGATACCGATACCCGTGTCCGCAATGTAATAATGCAAATTGTTATAACTTATCAGTGGCGTGTATCATAAAAAAAAATTGGTGCTATTCAAATAATTTTCAGAGATCTACCCCTCATAATACTGCCATACCAACCTACAAAATGAGTAATGACCTATTTTTTCATCTATCAATACCTATCAATACCTTCCTACCCACCCATATTTCAGGTGTTTCAAGAGCAACACTTGGACCCTATGTTACACGCCACTGTAACTTATAATGTTATATACTTGCCCGACTTGGGCGTCGTTCATAACCGCACACTTTAAAAAAAAGGTCGTCGTTCTAAACCACACATTTTTATACCTTAACCCCGCATATTTTCCCAAAATCAAACCTTTCAATACCGCACACATTGAAATATATCAATAACGTATCCATTTATCTAAAATAACATCATCGTTTAGTAAGTACAGCACACCAGTTAATCATATTTAATCGAGATCAAAAAAGAATTATAAAAATAAAACATTGTGACGAACGGCGCAGAAAGTTACCATTATAGTTAACTTGTCCATGAATTTTATGTTCCACATCATTCAGTAAGAACATGAATTTAAAATAATAAATATATTTTGAGTTATTATTAATTTATTTTTGTTTATTTTATTATTTTTAGATGGATGTGTTAAAACAACAACAGGTAATTACTTAAACCAAATTGAATATCAAAATATTAATAATTGAATGTTCGAATTTTGACAAAATGCGTGAAAATCACGAAAATGTTCAAATTATTTTGAGTTAGAAATTCATAAAAATGGATAATACTGATTTTATAAGTAGATTTTGATGCCCTAAAAAATCCCAAAAAATGCCCTTATAAAAATGCAAAAAGTTAGTCGGTCGGCTTTGATCCTATTTCAATTTAATTATATATTGAATTATTTTTAATTAGTATTAAATTATTTTTTTAATAACTATAAAATATGTTTAATTTTTAACTGTCAATCAAATGTGTGCGATTTTGAATTTTCGATCTTTCAAATATCCATTTTTAATAATAGAATAAATGTGTGCGGTATTGAATGGTGTGAAATGTGAGGTTATAAACGGTAAGTATGCGGTTCTGACGACCGCCGATATACTTACCTATATTATAATATTGACTGGAACAATTCGTCCGCAACTAGTATGCAGGCCAAACTTGGTACCTATAACTTTAAAACTTTAGTTAGAAATTATACACTTACGTAGGTAAGCACCTTGATCATATTATATACTGATTGCATAGCCCATAGGTACCTACCTAATCACAAGCTAGTC